TGAATGTCTGGAAGTCATTTTCTCTGAATTTTTAAGACGGGCTGTTATGTCTGAGGTCAGCTGGAGGAGGCTGCTCGTTCATTTCCTCACAAGACTTTTCCCACTCGGCCGTTTGGAGGTCAGGAGTGGTTTTATTTCACATGCAGAGAGTGAATCTATGAAATACTGCTTCAGTTTTATGCTAACATCCTATTTTATTTTACAGCCAAACTGGATTTAGTGGTGTGACAGGGTCAAAGTAAAACGATGCTACTGCTGCTGCCACGACTACAAAGACCTCGTTATCTACTGTATAGACCTTACGATCTTTCACACAAGTGACTCAGGGGTCAGCCAGGTGATGAAGAGGGTGCCAGCTCACTGCCCCCTCCCAGTCTTCCACTGTCTCTCCAGGACCCAGACAAGATTCCACTGCTGACACACATAAACCAATTACACTGTCTTATCTGATTCTGACTCCTTCTAACTCCCATCCACGTCAAACCCTGTCTTTTAGACACAGGCCTCTGAAATGAAAACCATGTGTTTAAGAAATTCTTGTTTGTAATCTTCAAGACGAGACAACTGTGTATAGATTATGTATTCGTTGTGTTATTTTAAAATGTAAACAAAAGACTATGCCACTACTTTGCGAAGGTAATACAATTAACTAAATAATGAATTTCAACCGCAAACACACTCCGGCATTCATCACTATCACACTGTGGCTCTGTGTTGCATGGGAAACACTGGAGCAAACCTTGAATGCCATTTTCTCAGCCTCATCCGTCTTGCTTGTTATGATAGGAAGGGGAAAAAAAGAAAAAGATTTCTGCTTGCTGACCAGATGACATTTGGAAAACGTAAGAATACATGCTCTGTGTGGGAAAGAACTTGGATTGTTAGATAAGTATGTCATCAGCCACACAAATATTAGTGTGTCTGACAGGTTGCCAAGGAGCTGCATCTTACTGCGTCTGCAGTGGGCACAAACTTTAGGAAAAGTTATAAACCTGTTGACCTGTTCTGCAGACGAAAGCAAACTAAAAATATACAAGTGGAATGAGCTGAAATTAATGGCATGATGAGGGAATAAGAGCAGGGCTCAGCACAGAATGATGTTGTTTGAAGCTCCTGTTACTGTGGACAGACAATTGCCCAACATACTGCACTCTGACCTCCCCTCTTCGTCCCTGTTTCAAAAGAAAGCCTAAAGTTCAATGTATGGAACATGGAATATAACATTCATTGCTGGGGCTATAGCTTAATAGCCAGCTGTGTTTTATCCTCACAATAGATTATTGTAATTATATGGTTCGTAACAACAGCATCTCTGTAACCTCTGTCTCCATCACTCATAGGGCTCATGCCAAAAAAAGAAAGGTATTTCGATTCAGAAATAAAAATGCAAAATTAAAGCAATTTTCCCACTGTGGCACAAATACAAAAAATATTCAGCATGCATTTTTTTTAAACTCTCAGCGCCCCCTGTGCATTTGCTTGCAGTTGTTCCCATGTTGGGAACAGATGCTCTATGTTGTCTGTCAAAAACATGTTAATTGTCTGTGTCGCCATACAATATAATACAGTACAACGACTGACAGTACAAGAGAGCTTTTTCAATATTTAAAACAGAGGGATAGTTTGAAAATGCTCTTATTTTTCCTTTAGGTAAACTTTTATTTTATTTCCTCCTTAACCTTCATGAGTCTAACTTGACCTTTAACTGCACTGTTTGGTCTGTGGTCTTGTATCAGTAAAGACAAAGAACTAGAGGGGAAAAATCTCCTGTTTTCCAAACAAAATTTATTTTATTTAAATATATTGTTATTTATCTTATTCTATTATTATGCAGATGACCTGAGCAGCAGAGACGGGACCTGCTCTGACATCCTGAAGACTGAATTCCGCCTCCTGCCCCACACTGCCAACATGAACACAGCAACTAATGAAAAGGTATAAAAATTAATCATCTATAAATACATCATCTGTCACATATAAATGTAGTTGTAAGTTATTTCCGCAGACAAGGAATTCTATGAGGTTAGAAATAGTGACTGAGTCAAAATCAATTAGAACTGAAGTAGACTGAAGGATGAAAACCTGTGTTGGATGACAGAGACAGATAACTCGCTCCTTCAGTCTGGAGGAGACACTCAGCAAGAGCACCACCTTCCACACTTTCAGCCAAACCACAGATCACTGCCCAGAAGAAGAGGGGTCACCACGACAGAGACGTGCAACTGTCGGTATGTCTGCAAAACATCACGGTTTTGTCCCGTGTGATCCACAAAGAACTTTACAATGCTGTGTTTTTGTATTACTCTCCTTTTCCTGCAGCATCGTGTATGAATCCGTCCAAGGATCAGAATGGAAACTTTGCTAAGAAGGTACTGTAAACCATCAAAGCAAGGCCTTCAGGGTGGCATAAGCACACAGCCCAGAGCTGCTGCAATTATAGAATATGCTCTGTTTATATTTCCCAGCTCCCTTGATCTGTCAAAGCAATGACTCTGCAAATAGTCTTGGGATTTTAGTATTTTTGTCCAGGATTTGCCAGGCAAGATTGCTTGTATCCTTAGTAATCCAACGTGTTAGTTGAAACACATAACAGAAAAGAAAAAAAAAATCACTTTTTCTTTTTAGGCAAATTGCGCACATCCTGCACTTATTATCTCCCTGCATTATCAACTGTCTTATTTTTTCTCATGGTACTCCATTAATTACATCATGAGTCATGGATGCAACATGTAGCTGAAGCAGCCACGGCTGACTTCAGAGCCCCCACATTGTGACCCTAAATTATACAAAATGACTGAAACTATGGATTATTTTTGTGGCTTTAGTGAATTATGATGTAACCACCCCCCCTTCCCCCTCTCTCAAAAAAGTCCATCTAATAACACATAATAGCAAATTACCCCAGACGCAGAAAAAGTCTCACTTCAATTTGCCTAATCACTGTGCTGTCACCTGGTAGACGGTCTGTTGGCAGCAAAGATCACTGCTTTTCCCAGGAAAACTATAAACAAAGAATTTGTGACTAAGGCAACTATAACATGGAAACCTGTGTTTGGGGCGCTACTTCACTAAACACGTCTTTGAGTTTCTGAGCGCTTGTTTATAACCAAACACAGAAATGTGTTTATATCCTGTAACGTATGATATTGTAATGATTGATCTTCAACATATTTGTATTTACTTTAAATTAGAGGCTAAAACAATGACTCATTGCAGTGGGTGGCGCTGTAAAGTTATTAACATCTTAGTCATCATCATGCGTCACATGCTGTGCCTCTTTTCCCATCAATATAGCTGCATTTTTTTCAAGTAAGAATTTTAAATTATTTTTATATGTAATACCAGACTTAGGTCTCAGTTAAAAGTCCAGAAAAGTTGGTTCAGTTCCCAAAACCTCAAGAAAAACATAAAGGCCAACATAAAAAATATTATTCTGAAGATGAATGGACTGATCACAGGTGACTTATGTTTACACGGAAGCAAAAATAAAATGGTAAAGGGTATAAAAATGGATTTAGTTCAAAAATTGTATCTAAAAGGAGAGTTCAGCAAAGATGTTCTCCTTCAGGATAGGATACTTTGTGGTTCACCTTTATGGGCTATTATTTTACTTTATGAGGTAATTTATTTCATAATGTTTAAAGATAAACTTACAGGTGATGTTGCTGACATTTGTTACCATCCAAATCTGGACCTCATTGATGTTTTAGCAGAAGAATACTACGCCATGGTCTGCATACTTTTACAAACAGAGTAGGTATGTGTGACTGGCCTGCCTGCAGTCCAGATCTTGACCATTAAGCAGAATCCCAGCATTTGCCACTGGACATTTTTGCTCATTTGTTTTTTACATTGTGAGAATGCTAACCCTCCTTTGCTGTCTTGGCATAATCGCCAAAGAGGTTCAGCCAATCTCATTTACACACCTGGCTAATGAGCTACTTGGCAAAACAGTAGCAATTAGTTTCTCTTTTCTCCTGTCACTGAAGTGTATTTACTGTAACAATAAAAAAGCCATAAACTCTGTCTTATAAGGATTAATTAAATTAGTTCATATGCTGTAAACAGATTACATTTGTTCAGATGTCTCTATTTGGTTTTATAAATAGATGTTTAAATATAAAACAACATTCAATATTTTAGTTCTTATGCATTTTTTTGGATGCATATCATCTAGTCTGGACATGGTATTTGGTATGGAATCCTATAACAGTGCCATACAGGAGGTCTTCATTACAACAACCTATTTTATACACAGAGTTGTTTGTGGGCGGATTATAGTTTTGTGTTCAGGAAAGAAAAAAGTTTTTCCCTGAAGCACTTGTTCCAAGCCCATGCAGAATGTGGCATCCGCAGCAGGTATGTAACCGCTCCTTCTCCCCAGGATGTGGACAGGCAGGTCGCCAAATGTCTCAGAGAGCTGAACACTGATGAACTCTGCCAGTGGTTCACCAACGTTGGACTGCACAAATGTCTCTCGTTCATCAAAGGTATGAGCCACTCTCCTCCCAACCCTGCGGCTTCGCATTCACCACAAAGCAAATAAACTGTCTTTAAATTAATGTTTACACATCAGGAGAAATGGAGATGAAGTTGATAAAAACGTATAAAGACATTTATATATTAAATTTCATGACCTGCATTCCAGTTTCACTTCCTTTATATCGTAAATACTGCTCTTATGGGGTTTATTTCACAAACAAGTCTTTTAATATTTTTTCTAAATTTGCAGTTATCTTAAAGATCTAATATCCATAAGTGTCAGGTAATAGTTATTTTCAATAAGTGCATGAGTTTTTTTTTTAATGACTAAATGTTCCTCTCACAGAAGCACAACTATGTGGTGCAGACATGGCCTCAGTGGATGCAAACACCCTGGACATCCTCCAGGTCACCTCATTGGAAGACAGAGAGCAGCTGCTGTCGGCTGTTTATACTGAGCTGCACCCTCCCAGCACCTTCAGCCGGACACCGGACTCTCTGATTGGGACTTTAGAAAATCTGCTCCATTCTGTGGATGTAAAATATTGTGTTTTGTTTTTTCGGTAACAGAATCATCAAGTCAGTCCAATGTTGAGACATTTACTGCAACACTGGCATCAATGACCAAGTCCACGTCTGCTCCTCATGTGGGCTGCCTGGCTCTGAATCGACGCTCCCTCAACCTCAGGTGTGACCTTTTATCACACACACAGACTGATTCAATGAGAAAGAAAATATTTAAATATAAAAAAAACCTCAAAATGTTTTCATTACAGAAACAAAAGCCACAGTTACATGATACAAAGGAATTCTCAGTTGATAGAGGTCACCGTAAATGGTGAGTTCAAGTATCGGTCAAAGACCCATTGTCCATAAATACAAATGTACAAATTTATGGTAACAGTTCTTTATCTACTTTTGTGGCCTTGTGATAAACCGTCAATGTCTATCTTTCCCTGCAAATTTCAACATATAAATGATTCAGAGATAACTCCTCCTTTATTGCAGCATCCGAACGGATTGTTCATCTGAGAACCCCGAACGAAACCACAGTGGGAAAAATTATGGATTCCTGTATCAAAATGCTGAACCTGACAGAAGATAAAAGTCTATTCACTCTAAAAGAGAAGCAAGGTGCAGGACGCCTGACAGCACAGCACAGCACACAGCACTACATCAATAAATAAACCCAGTGGTCTAATTAGAGACGTGTTTCTTTACTGTGAAGGTTCTTTAGATCTCCCAGCAGATCAGCAGATTGGGAGTCTTCTTACATCAGATAAAAGACAGTTGGAGCTGTGTTTACATAAAACGGTAGAATTCTTTTCAATACAAATAATATCAGTCACATTCACACACACACTGTAAACTAACATGCTTTGTTAAATTTAGGGGAAAAAAGCGTCCAGTGCTGCTGTTAATGGTCCAAACATGAATGAAAACGGCAGCACAGACACAAACGTGCAGGAGGACCAGTCTGCTAGAGAAGAGAGGATGAAGGAACTGCACCAGCAGGTGGACTCACTGCACAACGTCATCTCTCAGGTGGCTACGCTCTCTCTCTGTTCCTCCACGGAGAATAAACACGATAAATTACACAAAGCATTCTAACCCTGCCTTGATCCCTGAAGGTCCAGGAACTCCACCAAAGTCTGGTAGAATTTTGTGCCGAGCTAAAGAACATGGATAAAGATGCTGATGTGGAGCTGCTCGGCTCAGTTGAGCTGAAACAGAGGCTGGAGTCAGTCAGCGGCAGACTGAGTGAGAAGAGACAGAGTCTGCAGTGTCTTAAAAACAACGTCAACACTTCAGCTGTTCACCACTCAAAGTAAGTCAGACATCGACGGTCTTTCATGTATAAATATATACTATATACACAGAGATATATAGATTCAAATAAAAAAATACCTAGGGACATATAAGGCTATATAAACCTATATCCCTATCTGTTATGATGACTTAATGACTTGACCTTGGATGTATTTCCCTCAACTTCTGTGGAACTAGTGGGGAAAAAAATCACCAAAAATATTTAACATACTGCATTGTATTTTTGTCTCTTGCCTTTCAGGCAGTTGGACGTCCAGCTGTTAGAGAAAATGAAGTTTAACTGTCAAGTGTTCAAGGAGGAAATAACCATAGTGCACCTCAGCCGACGGGTGGTTCACCTGCAACATGCTCTGCAGGAAACCAAGGTACCACTGGTACAAGCACTGATACCTTTCACAGAACTCCCGCTACAAAACAGAACGTACAAGTTAAAGGTCTGGTCCTCAGTGCATAAGTGGGTCATAACCATGTGAAGCACACATTACAGTGAGATGTGGGAAAACTGTTTGGTCTGAGTCAGAGAATGTTTTGGCTGCTAAAAATAGACACTGAGAAACTGAGATTAGCTGTAAAATGGCACTAGTTATTGGGAGAAGCATGTGCGGTATGGGATATTAAGATCCTTCTGCTGCTTAAAAAAAACAGTTTGGTGTTTTTGGAGCATTATGCCACAGCAAATGTTTTTTCTTTGCTCTCTTACCATATTAGAACAACCCGTGCAACATAAACAGCCGAGCATTTTCCTACTCGTTAGAGCCGGCGTACATTAGCCATAGATGGAAAGCACATGAAGGTCAGACATGTGGTACAGTAGGTCACCATTAAACACCCTGCCACCTTTAATCTCCGCTCCACTGTTCTCCTGATTGACATCACAATGCTCCATTCAGTCCACTCTGTTTGGTTAAGCCGAGCAGTTAGTCTGCTGTGAGAGTGGCTATTACACAGGGCCGAGGATGAACATGCACTTTTTCTGAGAAAATGATGTTTGGTGCTGATACCCGAGAGCCTGTGACCATACCAACAATGGAATGTGTGTGACAAAAGCCACTGGGAGAGTGCAATGGAGAAATGGGCCAGGGTGTGTAAACGTATCTGCACCTAACCCCGGAGGAGCCCACTTCTTTTTTAATGTGGCTCTTTTATCCTGCTGGAGAAGCCCTAACGAGGTGCCATGAAAGGACACACGCGGCTTCAGCTTTGAAAGGTGCCTCGTGTCACGTTGCTGCCCCAGGGCCACGCTTTTTAGGTGCTGAGTTTGTGGGAAAAGCAGCAGCGCTAATGTTTATCATATGATCTAATCAGAGTTAACACACAGGTCATAGCTGAGGAGCAGCCTGGGAACTGATGGAGCTGCCGCTCTAATTGGGAGCAGACCGCCCTGTGTTTGGTCTTGTAGGCTCCCTGCATTACCGACAATAAGGAAATATTTCATCATTGGCAGTCTAATCTCCTGGATCTATTGCGACTGGAGAGCATCAATAACTGCAGCCGAGAGGGAAGGAGAGAAAGGATCGGAGGGAGAGAGGCAAGGGAGGAGGGGGAAGGACAACAAATGGGGGGAATGATTTTAAATAAGCAGTTTAGCTCGGACAACCCAGAAACTTCAGACAGACTATTAAAGAGGGGAAATTGGGAGAATTATTGTTTTGCCCAGCCTTCAGTCTCACATGTTCTTTGAGGATGGATGGTGGTTTGAGAAGAATCTGCCACCTCTTTGCTTTGGCACGCTCCGCAGTTTAGGAAAACAATAGGGCGTCTCCAGTTTTTATATAGAAACAGTCCCTAAATGAGGCTGTGGTCTCAGTTTGGTCAAATTGTCTCCTAATACTATGTGCTTCAGTTTACATCCCAAGGTTGATTGTGTTAAAGATATGCGATGATGGAGCAGCCAAG